CAGAGAGAGAGAGAGAGAGAGAGAGAGAGAAGAAGAAAAGAGAAACGCGCATAAATAAGTCAAGAGATACGACAAAGTTTCCTCGTCCTCCTTCTTCGAAAAAAAAAAAAAGGAAGAAAAACGATCGATGCGACGTCCTCCTCCCTTCCCATTTTCAATTTCATACACCCGCGTATTTCCTGCGCGGTTTATACGCCAACTACCAATGAACAACGAGATTGGATGAACTTTCCAATATTCCGAATTATACATTTTCCTATCGCTTTTTCATTTTCCTATTTTTTCTATTTTTCGCGGGATCAAAATCAACGCGATCCATTAGCAGGCGAAAAAAAGGGATCCATCGTTTGAACATTTTCGAGGGGGAGAGCGTGACAAAGGAATTTTCGCGGTGGCCGTCTAACACCAGAGACATTTCGTTTTTATGTTTTTCCGCTCGCTTAAAAAGAGCTCGCTGCGCCCCGCTCCTCCCCCCCAACGATTTTTGCACAACGGTGACTGGCACACGTTTCTCCGGCCCCTCTGTTTTTACGATTCCTCGCGTTTCCTATTGTTCGCGATATTCCTGGTAAATCGGCGCGCTCGCTTTGAGCCGTTGCAAATTTTTCTCATCCCGATCGCGGGGATACGAAGAGATACGAATATTAAACGAAGGAAAAATAACTCGTTTGCTCTTTTGCCCCGATTGGGAACGAAACAGGGACGAGAGAAAAAAGTTTTCAGAAGCCGAGTACACGGATTACGGAAACTGACAAAAGGCGCGAGGAGAGACAAAGTCCGCGATGAATGCGTTGATCCCGTTGCTCCATTCAACGTTGCATCCATCGGCTGTGACGCGGCAGAAAAAAGGGTATTATTGGCGCGAGCCAGGGCGAGGGAGGAAAGGAAAACCGTGTTGGAGAGGAAGGGAGAATATTAATGGAATAAGAAGACGTGGTGAGGAAAACAGGGGGTTGAGGGAAGGTCGTGGAAAGGAGAGGAAACAGCGCCGGATCGGTTCGTTGAATCTTGGCGAGGAAAGAAAGTCCGGCTATTCTTCTCCATTCTTACGCCAGCTTCTTTTACATTTTTTTCCCTTCACGTTCGATTCCCCTTCTTCCTTCAATTTAACATCTTTCTCCATTTAATCCTTTATTGCACCACAGTCAGCCTGCGCAAGAAGATGACGAGCGATCGGATATTTTTTTTAAGAGGGGTCATGAATGGAAAAAAAAAAAGTTTATTAATTCAGGATAGAATGTTCTTTCTCGAGTAATAAGTCACGAAATTCGTACTTCGCTATAATTAGTGTTGTATTAAATGTTATAAATAAACAGATCGATGGATAAATTCAAATCCGATTATTTAGTAATCTAAATGAAAGAAGAATATGTCATAGATTATTGGTATATCGTATATCGTACTATCGTATCTTTTTCTGGTAACGCCTCCTCCTTCTCGAAAGAAAAGGAAAAGACGTAACGGAGAAGGGGATCTCGACAATTGTCCCATTTCTGGACAACTACATTTGGCCAATACGCGTCGGCTCGATCATATTTTCGACCATTATTAACGCTGGATAATTAATAACGATCCGCCGTCGACCGACACGCCGCCCTTCACGATTCACTGGTGAAGAACTCGGTTTCAACGACGGTCGAAAGACGGAGGATAATCTTTTTTAATCACAGATGTCGAATTCCTCTCGCGGTCCCATTTCATTCCAAATACTCGAAATGGACGGTTACATAAGCGGGAAGAACGCGGGGAGATCGCGGTCACGGACGAGCGGAATTCGCGCGGATCGCGAGACTCGTGACTCGGCCGCGAATCTTTAATCGAATTCCCAACGGTCGGGCAACGCGTCCAAGGCCACGAATCCTGTTCGAGAACGCCTCGAGGCCGACACGTTCCCCAGGATCCAAGTTTTCAATCGCGAGATAACGAGGAACTCCCCCCTCCCCTCATCCTTTGCATCCCGAAACGCGTTCCACCCGCGCCTCTACCATTATTTCGGGATCGTTGGATAATTTAGGGGGAGGGCTACTACGTGCCTCTCGAGCCTCTCTAATTGCGGCCGAAATTCAAAGTCGGTCACACGAAGCCGCGGGCCACGCAAATTTACTCGAAATGGTAAATCAATGTCCGAGGCGAAACTCCATCCTCCTTTGAACGCGTCTCTCGAGTTGAAAAAAACTCGACGCTGCTACACTTTTCCACGATCGAGGATACATTTCGTTATTTCGCGCGATTATATCGAGGAACTCACCCGATTTCTCGTCGACGACGGAAGCGATCCCGGCGACGAAGGAGACAGCCTTGGTCAGCCCGACGAGCAACAGTACACTCCACATGTTCTCTCGATTATTCCTTCCTTATCCACTTGTGTTCGGGTCGGGCCACGACTCGACAGAGCCACTTTGGGGGAAGCGAAGGGCACGAACAACACGAGTCATCCTCACCCGGCCGCGACACACGTCGCCACTTTCATCTCGCCCGCGATCCCCGCGATCGTGGCGAGTCGATCGCGCGAGCCGTCACGCATCGTCCGCGCACCACCGAAATCCGAGCCGAACTGACGCCACACAATACGCCGCGCACCGACCTTGCTTTCCCAACAACACTCGAGCCAGCCAACCAATGGATTATTCCTCCTCGTTTCCGAGAAATGTTTACCGTCCTCGATCCGCCGCGTTAATCCTCCTTCCTTCCTTCCTTCCTTCCTTCCTTCTTCGTTCTTCTCGTGTTTTTCCTCTCTGGTATTAACACTAATTAAAGTTGGCGCGCCACCGCATCCACCGCAACAACCTTCTCGCGCTTCTCTCTTGTGTCTCCACTTCTTTTCTCCTCTCTCTCTCTCTCTCTCTTTCATCCGCTGTGCGCCCGTTATTGTATCAAAGCGCTGCGACACGCGCTACTGGCCGTTAGAAAATCCACCGCACTTTCGACCCTAACCGCGCGCCACTGTCGCCAATAACCTGCAACGAGGGACACGATACCCGCAATTGCCGGCGATACGACGGCATACACCCGCCGCAGAATTCACCGCACCGCAGCCTCTCTTCCTCCAACAATCTTCCGACAATCTCTTCCCTCTTGCCCGAAGATTCGAAAGATTCGAGGGAGAAGTTTGGAAGGATCTCCGCGGGCGAGACGTCCACCACCGCGAATAGTCCCCTCGGTTTTGCGCATCGAGGGAAGGGAAATCCCACAGGTCGTTGCAGTCGGGATGGAACTTAAGAGAGAGAACGAGGAGGGGAACTCTCTTCCACTGTTTTCGTGACGAAATACGCGCGATCCCCACGATTTCGAATCCAATACGATTCGAACGGAGATGAGAGGAGACGCTGGTTGGCGCGCCACGCACGGGCTGGAATGGGTCCAAGCAACGACAGACAGGGGCCGCAATCTCGTCGATGGCCGCGAACACCGGCCGAGATCGATCCTCGGCGGAAAGATTCGGTTGTCCCTCGGATCGGTCACACCCTCTCCACCCGTCACCTTTCCATCGTACACACCGATTTCTCGCGATTCTTCGCGCCCTTTCTCGCGCTCCTACTCAACGGTTCCTTCTCCCTCGCCCGAATTCTCGCACTCGAGTCAAACTCGTCCAACATCGAACACTACCAGACGGACGATCCGCGACGCCTCGTCCATCTCGCCATCTCGCGTGAGAAAAGGAATTCGACACGTGCGCGCCACTTCTCTCCCTCTCCCTCTTTCCCTCGCGTGAGAAAGAGAGAGAGAATCGTCGGTTGAAACGACGGGACGCGAGCTGACCAATCGCTCGCGGATGTAATTTTTTTGAATTCGATCGGTCGGAGTTATAAGGAGGAGAGGAGGAGGAGGAGGAGGAAGGAGGGGGGAGGAGGGGGGGAGAGTGAGAAGGTGTAGTAGAAGGCGCGCGAAGGGTAGGAGGAAAGTCGAGAGACGAGCAACGGGGCCGGTCAACGGTGAACACGTGGTCCTCGACCGACGGCGGACGGCACACTGACGAAAGGAAGACGAGCAAACGGCGCGGCGACGGGCGCGCAGCCTGCAAAACCTCCCGAGGAGGTGGAGGTGTCGGAGGAAAAGCCGGGGGTGGGGCGAAAGGGGGGTTTTCGCTCGACGTTGGACACGCCACCGCGGTGAAAGGGGGAATCCCTCTCCCCTTCCTGCCCTACGCGCGACAAGAATTCTTCTTCTCGCGATGCGCGGATCCGTGAAACTGATGCGCCACGAACGCACATGCGTTCCATCCACCCCTCCCCACGCGTTCGATAACACACACCGGCCGCCTTCCTCGCTTCCGAGATTCGGAAGATCGCGATTTTTGCATCGTTGCATTTTGTTTTCTCTCGTCTCCATTATATTCGTAACTACCGTGTTGTTGTTGTTTCCGATGAATTCCGATCGGTTGGAAAAAAAAAAAAGGGGGGGGGGGGAGACGGCGGTTTTTTTTCCATTTCTGAAAAAAAAAAAACAATCACGATTATTGTTTTCTTTGTTCTCGATACGAGCGACGGCGAAAATATATATATATCTCTATTTATCGTATCGTTCGCGTGATAATTAATTTCGTTCGAGCACGAGTATATATGTATATATTAAATTTCGTTTTCGTTTATTCGCGGAACGTGGAAACTTCCCGCTGTGGGCGGGGGGGGGGGAGGGGGGAACGCTCGATCGGAAGATCGATCCACGTACAAATATTTTTCACGTCCACTGCGAATAATTGAAAACTGTATGTATTGAAAGCTGTAACATCTTGTTTTCTTGCTCGTGTCGAGAAAATATACTCCGCGGGATAACTAGGGGAGGGGTGGGTTCGTTCGTTGTGTTTACAGCATCCATACGATTCGAAAACGATTCGGTTTTTCGGCGGCGGAACATTCGTCGGGGGAGGGGGAAAGAGATCCGCAAGGGTTGGGGAGATGTTTGGTCGACGATCGCGTTTAAGATACGCTTGAGCCTTTCGCTCGACGGGGCATGGGTCGACGAGCGCCTTTTGTTCGAAAGTATCGAAGCTGGTTTACAGTGGTTTAGAGGAGAGGCTAGCAAGTCTGGGAGGATAAGATAGGGAGGGAGAGGCGGGGGACGGGGTCAACGGGATGGAAGGGATCGAAATAGGGCGAGAGAGGAGGGCTAGGTGGTGTCACGGATCATGGTCATCTTAAAAGCTCGTGAAAGGGAGTGGTATGCCACTCGTATGCTTCCTATGGAGAGAGAGAGAGAGAGAGAGAGACGTCCTCCACGAAGAATCTTCTTCTTCCTCGATTTTGCATCGATGGATGACAAAGGATTAATAACCGATCCTATCGATCCCCTCTCCCTGCTTCGCGTCTCCCCCGAAATTAAATCGGCCCTACTTTGCATCACCCTCCTTCCCCGTATCGCAAAAGCTATCCGGGGCTCCGCGTTTAAATAATTCACGTTTCACTTTTATTCCGGCGACTACGAGTTTCGCCGATGAATTTCGTATGAAACTGCGTATATACATTGTATATACGTGTCGCGTATATATATATATATATATATATATATATATATATATATATACGT